CAGGCAGACGATCGCCACGATGTGGAAGGAGGGGAACAAGGTTATGTTTTTGGACAATTATAAGGAGTCCGGCAGTGCCGTCCTCAGCAATGCGGTGTGCACGCTCTCTTCGTGAGAGAAGAGCGCGCGTATGCCATAATTTTGTGGCCCATTCAATTATCATATAAATGAGTACGCTATCAGGACCGATATGTGAATTGTGAATGGTGCGGCCCAAACACAAAGACTTGGAACGCTCTGTACTAGAGCTTCTGTGTCCTGCATGCCTTCCACCTGTGTACGTGACTGATGTTTACATGGGTGATTTTTGAAGGGAGGCCATTTTGAAATCAGGACCGCGCCTGTTGAGCACTCGAGGCGTCCACAGCCTGGTCCCAAGCTTCTTCCTCCAAATTGTTCGGACTGCAATGTAATAGAACGGGTACAAACTGTAAAAGCAGTGCTGTCACTTGGCACCCTTCTATAGACAGACGTAAGCTTTTATATGTACACCACCCACACTGGCATGCGACAAGATGGGGATGAATGAGCGCCTGATAGAACAACGGAGAAAGAAGAGAGGAGAGCGGGGTGATTGGTTGGTCCGCATCGAAGATGCATGAGTTTTGACTCACCTGTGGCTTTGTGGAGCAGATTTGGTCCTTGTAGCCATTCGGTACTGGATGACTGTGGGGGTGCCGCCTCGTGTGGAGAGGCCGGCCACGTGTGGAGAGACCGGCCACGTGCTTCCCGCGTAAGTGGCACAAAACCTCCGAAAATTTAGGCTTGAACAAGTCCGGGCATGGCGTGGCTGCCCCTCTATTGTTGGGCCGGAGGGACCGCACCAGCTCCTAGGGCGAGTGGATTTCATGGTATATACTTAAATAAGTCTTTCCTTCTGTTCGTCCTTCCCCTTTCCCTTCTTTCTTCAGGTTGATCCTCACCCACGTCGCCCGTCAAACGAAATTCTCTTCACTATACACTCGCTGGTCGAGCCGTCCATCACCCTTCCTACCACAACACGCAAGCAAGTGTGCAGGCTCTCTGCCCACCACACTGGAGGCTGTTCTACCAACTACGCTATTCTACGCTCGCAATGAAGCTCTCCCTCACCACCACCATTGCCGTGGCGCTTGTCACCGCCTCAGCTACATCGTTCGCCGCGCCCATGCCCGAGGGCATCAGTCGCCGCGCCCGGGGCGGTAGGGGTGTTCTCGGTGCTCTCTTTAGCAAGGCTGAGGCAGGCTCGAGCCGCAACAGCGCCTCCCTCGTCGGAACAGACACGGCTGTGGGGTCGCGCATTTTATCACCGCCACCACTAACATCCGTGCGGAGACCGTCGGCACTATCCAGCACCTCGATTTCCACGCCGCCACCACCGCCACCACCACCACCCGCGCGGAGACCGTCGACACTATCCAGCA